GTCTTACCGTCTGCAATTTTGTTTCATGTGGTTGCAATCTTCAGGTAGTGAGTAAAGATACATGTGGCATGATTATTAATGGCAAACATGGATCTTCATACCAACAAAAAAAAATAAAAAAAATGCGGAGTGTCAAAAGGACGGTTATTCCTTTGATATGGCTATTATTTTAATTAACTTCACACCTCAGCAATGTTCATGGTTTTAAAAAATAATGATTATAATTGCAATAAAACCTAAATATATGATGAGAATGAATTTATACATTTTTGATTCTTGAGAATTTACAACAAATTTTAAACACTATTTATTAGATTGTTTATTTACAAGAATAATTTTATGTTTATAACATTCTAAAAACTAATACAATGCAATATTTATCATTTACTAATTTATAAAGAAATAAATATGAAAAATTTTATTCATAAATTTATAAACATTTGCTAAATCATTAAAATATGTGAACCAACTATAAGGAAATCCTTATTTACCATTTTATAAAGTTTAAATCAATTGGTAATTAGATGATGTTTTGCCAACCATTCCAATAAACAATCTAATAAATATACAGTGTTTATTTTTGTTGTCAATTCTTAAGAACAACAAAAAAAAACATAAATTGACTTTCATCATATGTTTAGATTTTATGAAAATTTTAATCATTGTTTTTTAAAGCAAACATTGCTGAGGGGTGAAGGTAGTTAAAATTAGCAGTGTCAATGGGAAACTGTCATTTTGCCTTTTTTTTTTTTTTTTTTTTTTTTTTTTTTGTGGGCACATAGATCCAAGTTTGCTATTATTATGATGATGATGATTATAATAATGATGATGAATGTTGTGATAGCCTGCAGTGAGATTGGAAGGAATAGGGAAAAAAATGATTAAAATATCACATACTAGACCTATATAAGCAATTAAATTTATTCTCTTATCTTTAAGGGAACAAATTTATTTTATTATTAATGTTCTATGTCTTCATATCATGCACTGTAATCACAAAGACTGCTTTCCTTAAAGATGTCATCCTCTAGAATTACCCTGGTCGACTGATTTTTGGTGAAATGCAGTCTTTGTTGTTGTCAGATCATTAGTAACTTTTATCTTGAACATAAAGATGTCAATTATTTGACTTTAAAACTTTTAAGTTTATTGCAATGTTGATTATATTAGTTGACTTCATTTTTTTTGTTTAATGGATAAAAATGAAAATTTATTACTTATCTGCCCATATATACATGTTTGTTTAGACATTTCTCTTAAAAGACAAAATATGCCTGTAGAAAAGTTAACAGGCAATTTAACTTAAAGCCAGTAATTGAAACACACACACACACACACACACACTTGAATTATTTTTCAGTTTTTGCAATGCCTGGTTTTCTAACCTGTTTGTGTTTTGTTACAGCCACCAGGTTTAATCTGGAAACAGAGTGGAAAAATACTTACCCTCGCCTGAGAGAACTTGACCGAGTAAGTAACACTTCAATGAGCAAAAACGAATAACAAAATATTTCCTGTATAGAAAGAAATCTCATGATCAGATTACTAATGTTACATGGCAGTGTGTGTATTTATTTTCTTATTGAGAATTCAATGATGTCATTGTTTAAGTTATTATAGCAAAAAGAATGGGCATAATTAAAAAATGGAAAACAACTATGGTAGCTGGCAATATAAAAAAAAAAGAAGAAAAAAGAGCTGATCAGTTATTGTTCCTCAGTCATCACAATTTGCTTGAAGAAAGTAAAACTGTTTTGTACACAAAACTAAAAAAACTGGGAAAGAAAATTCATGTGTATCAATAATATATTGAAATTGGGTTTATTTTAATAAACAAATCACATTCAGTCCTAACAACAATTTCTTTGGGTTATCTAAAATTTCATAGTTTTTAATTCTTTCTTAACTTTTTTTTTTTTTTTCTGTAACCTGAAGTGAAAGTAATAAGAATTAATATTGTTAAAAATGAATAAACTTATTGGTTGGGATAAACTTTTGAACTAACAAAAATATTTTGGTGCACTTTTGAAAAATTTTTGAATTTATGTACAATGACAGAACATTATTAGTAATTATTGTTTTATTCAGTAAATTGATGATTGTTATCCATGATAAACCTGGACTTAGTGATGTTTTCTATGTTAGGATGTACATAAGGCAGGCTTTCATTTCCTCTTCAATACACAAGTCTTTTTCCCTTTAAACATTTAAAGACAAGATGTGTTGGTAGTGTAACAGATACCAGTGCAGAAAGTGAAATTGGCAAGCAGAGTTCAAATTTCAGGCTATTCTGTTGAGTTCACTTTTGCACTAATGCTCTTAGGAATGGCATGGCTCTGTCTCTTCTTATTCCAGCTATAGGTTAAATAGTAGATTAGATTGGGTTCTCTATCCTTGGGTGGCAACCCGTCTAGGAGAAGGAAAATTCTGAATTCCAAACTGGAGAAAGAAACTAAACCACTCTACTCTCATTCTAAGAATGTATGGCAATTCACAGATAATGGAAAAGAAAATGGTGTCTATGTCCTGAAGGGATATGACATTAAAAAAAAAAATACCAGTTCAAACTGAATTAAAAAAAACCTTTATTTTTTTTTTTTATTTTGCTATTGAAGAATGTTCTTTTTATAGAAATCCAAAGTGAATTAATTGGTAATTTTTTATGCTTGATATTTTTTTTCTATTCTCTCCATTGAAGTCAATTTTTCTTATTTGAAATGCCAGATGATTTTTTTTTTCTCACTTTGTATACTTTTTCATGCTACACATAGCTACATCTCACAGTACATGGTTTTGGAATCAATGATTTCTCTGAACTAATAAAGCTTTTTCATTTTAGTAATATGTATGAAGTTTTAGTATTTCTACTTTGATATACTTATTAATTTTTTAATGTCAGAGTTTTGGTTTGTAAAATCAAAATCTTATCAAGATTAAATGATTTTATGAAAATATTTATTTGTTAAAATTTTACTCATGGTATATGGATGATATACAAAGAGAAGTTTGTGGGCCTGATCTACTTCTCAAAATCTGACAGTGTTTTGGAAGAGCTTCTTGATCAAACCAAGAACTTTTTAGTACCCTCTTATATAGCTTTACTATTATTGTACCTACAAATAGAAATTATAAGTAGCAGGACCTGTCAAAATTTCATGGTTGCTGATAAAATTATCCATTTTGTATCTTCCTCATCCTTTCCAATCTATAACTGTCCATGTTTTTATCTAAATGTTATACAAACATAATTGATTTCATATGCAAAAAAAAATAAAGTGCACAAATATTTTCTTTAGCTACTGTATCCTCTCTTTTATCTTTCTTTTGCTCTATCCATACATAAAAAATTTTAATGTATGGCAGTTTTAAACCTTTCTACCCAGACCTGCTTTACAATCTTTTCCTCATCATCTCTTGATTTCTCACCAGCAAACCTGTATTTATTTCATCATTCATTTTTTTTTACCACTCTTTGTTTATAATTTTTTCTTCCACTTGGTTTTGTTTTTCTATAGATTTTTTTTAATCTCACCTTTCTGTTTTCATAATCCATTCTCCCCACTTCACCATTATTTTTCTCCCAATTCCTTTGAATTTGAATTCTAGTCAGCTTCATTACATTCACTTACATGCAAATACACCTGGGGAAAGGTATGAATCCATCTCCTCACCCAATTTATGGATTAAATAGTAGGACTTGTAACTGGAAAACTATTATTACTTTTAAAAAATATTATTAATATTCAATCGAAAAAAAAAAAAAAAAAGAATTATTTTTACAATCCCAAATATGTTTCAGCCTTTAAATAACCCACAAAGGGTTGATAATCTGTAAAAAACAAAAAACAATCAATCCTGGTTCTTAATGTTTTTTTAAAAGGATACGGATCATTTACAGAGACACTTTTCTATCTAAGATCAGAGAGTAGTAAGGGTCATACATGCAAATAAGCAGAATCATGTTTTTCAAATCTTTGTTAAATTTAATTTTTTTTCCTTTATATATGACACTGATAACAAGTATTAATGGCTTATTTATATTTTTAGGATGAACTCTTTGAGAAAGGTAGAGGTGAAATCTTAGATGAAATAATTAATTTAAGTCAGTTGACACCAAAACAATGGTAAGTAAATAAACTTTCCACTTGTGTACATTTTTGCTATGTTAAAAAGTAATCATTTTTCTTCTTTTTTTTTTTTTTTTTTTTTTATATGATTGTAATGAACAGTTCATCACCCTTATAAGTACCTGAAGATTGTATTTAATATGAGGCTCACTCGTACTATTGACGTAAGGTGTGTGTGTGTATGTATGTATGTATATATATATATATATATATATATATATATATAATAAAAGTGAACAATGAAGTCAACACCCAGCAGCTACAGTCTGTTTCAGGCTTAAACAAAATTTTCAGGCCATCATAATGATTGTGTTTAAGCAATGTACACTTTTATATTTACATACAGTCTGTCCCTAATATTGAGCACTTTAACTCATAAATATAGCATACCTTAAAAGTATATTTTTATCATATATACATAGGGTGTGATGGACAAATTGTCATCTAAATTATGTAAAAATAAAAATAACATTGACATCTCATTTTAACATATATATTTACCAAAATTACACAAAAAGATCTTGAAATACTAAAGAGTAAATTTATTCAAAAAATTGCCGTTGGCTTCAACAACAGCCTCCAGACAACTTAAGAACACTTCTGGATGCTCTCCTTGTTTAAGTTGGTGAATGCTGCCATAATCCTTGCCTTCAGTTCATCTTTGGTGTTTTTATTGGTCAATCTCACTCAACTTAATACATAATAATCAAGGGAGTTGCAGTCTCGGGAATTAGTTGACCAGATGTAAGGGGTGACATTCTCGCAGAAATTGTCTAACAGTCATGACTGGGTTCTCCTGCTTGTGTGGCATGGTGCAGAGTCCTGTTGCCAGACATATGATCTTCCAGCAGCCACTCTCTTGACCCAGGGTAGCACTACCTCCTCAAGGTACTTGTTGAATTTGAGGCTCTGTGGGAAGATGAATGGAGGCATAACATCACTATCATTAGTGATCAAACACCTTTGTAATCACCATTAGACCCATCCAATTCTTTCTGAATCCTCTGCCATGTCCTCAGATTGACACCCAAACACTCTGAAATATTTGCATTGGAGCTTCTGGTACAAATGCCAAGCAGTAAAGCATGTAGTTTCCAAATTTCTGGTAGAGTGAACTGCATCATGGTGCTCTTTTTCTCACATATGGTGCCAACTATACTGTGCAGTCAACAAAAACAATGTGCATGTGTAAAATTAAAAATATAAAATGGCAACAATTTACCTATCACACTCTGTATATATAATTTATTGAATTTATAAAGATCAATTTTTAACTGTAATTTGTCAATTTTGTAATATTTTGTTTTTATTCCTCAATTCATCATTCAATAAATACTTGTATCACTGAATTTTGTGACATGATTTTTGTTGTTTATTTAATTTTCTTTAAAAAGAAATATAAACTGGTGTATAATTTTAATCTTTATAACTTCAAAAGCATTTGAAAATGTTGGCCTACTAGCTATTCAATGAATCAACATTTAGTTTAATTCATTTTTATTATGTCTCCTGATTAGAGTCAAAACTCCAATTTTGAATTGGAAACTTTGAGAAAAAAAACAAATATAAATTAAGCAACAAAAAATCTTTCAGCCTTCTTGGATGAAAGGAAAATTTTTTTTTTTTTTTTTTTATTTATTTTTTTTAAAAAATTTTTTTTTTTTATTTATTTATTTTCTTTTTCTTTTTTTTTATTTTTATTTACTTTTTTTATTATAATTTTTTTTAATTTTTTTTTTGTTTATTTTATTTATTTTTTTTTAAATTATTTATTTTTTTTGACAAGGCAAAAATGTCTTTGATATCAAGAAATGTGGTAATTTCCAAAAGTATATTGCTATATTTATTCCTTTTAGGATTGTATTTGATAATGTTTTTAATAAAATCTTTCTTTCACTCCTTCTCAGGGAAGATGCTTATTACAATCAATTATGGAAGACAACAGCAACTTATTTCTTTGAAAATATTTATTTACCTGCAGCTCAGTGTGAAAACTCTGGGTGAGTGCTATCTTTAGAATTATCATCATTTTTAAGCAATTCCATATATCCATATACACAGACCATTATCAGACAATTCATATTGTCCTTTTAATGATCATATTTGATGGCATATAACCCTCCTCCATCTTATTTATATTTTTTGGGAGCAGTATATTGACCCACTTTCTTCTCTCTCAATCCAAATATTAGAATTTTATAAATTTGTAATAAATACACAAAAAGAAACTTAGTTTGAACAAAACCAAATAAGGAACACGGATGAAATTTTAGTAACATTCAGCATGCTATCTAATAATTTTTGTCTTTATACTTTAAATAGGGAAGTTCTTATGTATCCAGAGTCTTAAGTACAATTTATATTGGGTTGGACAAAAAGTTTGTTTGATTATTAAGTAGGAAATTTACTTAATAAACCAAACAAACTTTTTTGGCCAACCTAATACATTGGTAATAGATGTACAAAAAGAAAACTTAATTTTGAACTGAACCAAATAAGGAACTTGTAACATTCAATGTGTCATCCAACAATTTTTATCTTCTATGTTATCAAATATGGCATTTATATTTAGAGTGATTTTCCTATTCATTTTTCTTTTGAGAATTATTCCTTGGTTTACATACTTTTTTTTTTTTTCCTACTTTGAAACATACTTAACTCTGTTTATTCTTTAGGCTAACAAAAAATAAATACTATTGGTTTGTTTAATAAGAAGTTTTGAAAATTATAAAAAATTTAAGTTTATTGAAAATCCTTATACCATATTAAAGAGATTGTAAAAAAAAATTTTCTGAGTATTAATTAATAACTATAATCGAACCAATGATGATTTCCCATAAAAAAAAATAATTAAAATATTCTTTTTCTAATGGAAAAAAATTGTGTTAAAATCTTTATTCTAAGTTTGAGTTTAATTTTTCTTGAAAATTTAATTTCTTATTTTAAAAAACTGGACATGAAAACTAATAAATAGAATGTCAAAATTCTGTGACAATGTTTATTTTAATATTTTATAAATAAATTTTTAAAGATACAGGATGATGATAATTTTAATACTGTGAAAATTATGATTAAATTTGGAGTAAACTATTTTGCTCAAACATTGATTGCTAAGTATGATTTGGCAGTGTCATCTGCCTCAAAATTATAAGATTAACCAAAGTTGCATACCTGTACCAATGTTTAAAAGAAGATAAATGTATACCTTTATTTTTTTTGCCTTTTGTAGCACCTTCAATACAACTGTAGATATCAAGCTTAAACAATGGGCAGATTCATTGTTACCTAAAAAATGTGTTAAGGTATGTACAGTGACAGTTATTTTAAAATTCTATTTTGTCTAATAAAACTGCTCATATTATTATTTGAGCCTTTTTTTTATTTTTATTTATTATTATAATTATTATTTATTTATTTATTTATTTTTTTTTTTACATTACTTGCCAACCAGGCACTGGGGCAAGAAATGAGTAATGACTTTGTTGGTCAGGCACTGGGGCAAGAAATGAGTAATGACTTTGTTGGTCAGACAAACATTTAGCAAACAAGTGAAGCTGGCATGGCTGTGTACATTTTGGGGTGTATTGTCCAGTTCATACTTTTCACCAATATTTTAAACAGAAGTAGAGGTTTATTCCTTGTTTCCTGTTTAGGATTGGTTTTCCGGTTCCTTCTGTCTACTTCAGCTCTTTATTTCTAACACTTGTCCTTTCCTATACTAGTATAACTACACACAGTAGCCCTCTTGCTTGAGTGGCTTTTAGGCCTTTTACTTAGTAAAAAACAAAACAAAAAGAAAACAAATTAAAAACAACTTTTTTTTCTAGTTTGTGGTAGGGTTAGTAACTTTCAAATGGAATGATTAGGATTTGTCATTAAAATTATTTATAATGATGTAATTTGACTATAATTTGGAAACTTTGAAATTTGGATAATATTTGAAATAATATTTTTATTTGGATCATTTACATATCATTGTTGGTTGATTTTGGTATTCTCAATAGGTTAGTAAATAATAATGTTTTGAACTTGGTATGCAATTAGTGTAGTCTATTTTCTTGATTTTAGTGAATGTTTCTCTGGTTTATCATGAGAATATGACACCCACATTTTGTGATTCTACTGTACTAAATTTTAAACTTGAAATGCATTTTATTACAAATTAAATTTTTATACTTAGTTTGGATATTAGTTTGTAAACTGTAAAATTCATGTCTCTTGCACCTCCTGCATATGTCAGGGTTTGGGAAAGCAAAAAAAAATTCTGTAGTTTTAATAATTTTTATTGATGTATAACTTTTGTTATGGTGGGTTGAGGAAGAAATCTATATTTTTTAAATGAGAGCAAAATGAAAACAAAAAGAATGAAGATTAAAATACCCTTGTTACAGGCTTACTACCAAGGGTGTGGCCCCAGTGGTCACCTTAAAATTATTTAGTTCCCATCTCCATGAAAATAATTTTAGTGGGCAAATTTTTATTCACATCCCAACAAAATTATCTGCTGACAGAACTGCAATACACCAAGGGTAATTTGTGCATTTTTTTTTCCCATAATATCTAATTTTGAAGGTCTTCAGGAAAAGGGAAATAATGAGCCTTATGTTTAGGAAGCTAAGAAATTAAAAAAAAAAAAAAAAATGAATCCATGAAAGATCAGAGTACAACAATAAATAATAAGGTGGGTACGAATATCTTTAAATAAGCAAATGTTAAGATTTTCGGATAATAGGATAAAATATCAATTTCATGTATTCTAATAATTTTGATGGTCTGGAGAAAACTAGATGTGCATAGAATAATCCTGCTAGTAAAATATTAATTCCTGACCACTGACAATCCCTTTTCCTGATTTTCAATACATAACAGAATGAGCACCAAAACATCTCTCAAACAAATTTCAAATGAAAACATTGTCAAATTTTATACTTAATCCTTCCCATTTTTCTTTCCATCACACATAGTTTTTATTCATTTAAAAAAAATAATAAAAGCAAAAAAGAGTAGTGGAGAGATGAATAATTAATATCATGGGGAATGGAATTGGCAAAGTTCAAACTCTAGTTGGGATAGTTCGCTTATATTTTGCATTAATGTTTTTAGGAAAGGCATGAATCCATATCTCCCTATAGCTTTGAAATATATAGTAGGGCAGTTGGAGAATTTTATCTTTGCAAGACAATCTATTGTAGATGTCAGATTAACGAGCTGACTGTGTCAAATTACACTTACTACTTAATCTGCAGCAGCACCATTTTGTCTAGTTGTCTCAATGTGTAATCTGCAGGAATAAACAAATTGGTGGTGGGGTAGTGGTAAAGTCACTGGGTAACAATAAAGTTGAAACCTTGTGTGTGTGTGTGTGTGTGTGTGTGTGTGTGTGTGTGTGTGTATATATATATATATATATATATATATATATATATATAAGAAAGAACAGCAAGATATGTAATCCAGTGTTCTTATAGATATTTTTATTTTTACAAAATAGTGCTCAATGTAAATTTGCAGAGCATTAATATATATATAGGAAATAAAGTTGATATATAAACCAAGTGAATTTTATTAATATAAAATAAAATATTAAAACTGATTCACAGAGAGAGCTCAATGTTTTATTCAAACGGAGCATATAAATTGTAAACAATAGGAATTAGGATTAAAAAATATTCAGTATTATTATTGTTTAGGTAATAAGCATTATAACAGCACAAATAGCTATATTGTGAAAAAAGGAATTACAATATACACATTTTTATATGTATTTGTGGTTATCTTTTAACTTTTAGTAAAGACAACATTCTTGTACATGTAGTTATGGATAAAATTATATATTAATTACTAATTTTTTTTAATTAATATCTATTTGTGCTCAGTTGTTGACATTAATAGCTATCTACTGATGTGTTAAAATTTTGGAATAATGCAATAATAAAAATTTAAATTTCATCTCTCTGATAGATGTCACAATCTGTTAATATTTTTTCCACAGAATTTATGTGACTGATACTAAAGCGAATGAAAGTTTTGATGCTTTTGATTAAATCTATCTTACCTGTAATATCACAGAGTAGATGGTAATGGTAATATTAGTTGTTTACTGAGAAGCCAGTGCTATTGTCAGTTGAAATTTATAAAATATTTCTATTAAAACAATTTTTCAGGATAATAATAGGTTTTTCCAGTCCACTGTCATCTCTCTTTCCAGTATTGTGGGGGGGGGTTTCCTTCCAAACCTTTTATTTGAAGTTGTGTGGAATGTCAACATCTTGATTGTCATTATTTTCACTTTGAGTTATATGTGCTATACATTTTACGTGCTGTTGAAAATCCTCAAGTAATGTGGTTTGTTATTTGGTACAGTTATGATTCTATAGCACCAATCCATGAGGTTTAAAGAAGGATGGTCCTTGCTAAGACTGATAGGCTTCATTCACTTGAATCAATTTTTTAACCATTGGTCTGTGAAAAGGGTTAATAAATAACGTAAAGCTTTATAAAAAAAGATGTTTTTTTTTGTAAGAAGTACTCGTTGAAAAAGAAAACAAATTGTAAGTTTTTGTGGTATGATCAGTTAAAAATAAATGTACAAGTTTTATATTATTTTCCATCTTTTTCTACCCTGATGATAGGTTGGTTGGAACACTCTTCATGAAGAGTTTGGTAAACTGATGGACAGGGAAGACAGCTTGAAAGAGCATGATAACATCTTTGATCAACTCAAACTGGCAGTTAAGGATGCATGTATGAAGAGACATGAATGGGACAGCAAAGCAGAAGAGAGTCTGGTGAGTGAATTTGTAGAGAGATTCTTTATCTTGGAATCGGCATAAACAGTATAGGATGCTAACAAATTTTTGCTTTCGCAGAAAATTACCTAAGGTGGATTATACAATGTCTGTCCTGAAATTATCCAGCTATTTTAAATGTCTAGTTGTGCAACCTTGATCTATCTTAGAAGCTAATCAGAGAGGGCCATTGCTGAGCATGCTTGAACGCACACACTACTGAGTGGGCTCATGTGTCCAGTGATTGTAGCATTCAAAATTATTCAGGTCTCATTCAGTTTTTTAGTAAAACATCTCTCAGGTTTGTCACTCCTTGCAATTTTTACTTTTTCCCAAAGCTAATGTTGTCATTAAAATGCAATGGGGAATGCACCAAGGAAACTGATGGTGATCCCAGAAAAAGAGAGCTCTTTTTTGAAAATCAAAAAAGAGACTGTGTGAGATCCCAAAAGTAATAATTTGAAGAGAGCTAAAGCACCATTGCTCTAGGTAGTCTTTTTATTATTATTATTATTATTAAATAACTTTGTGTATTATCAAATAGCAGGCTTAAATTTTTGTTATCACTCTTTTTTTTATGTTAGATGTTTTTCTTTTTCATATAGAATCCCGTCAATCCAAAAATCTAACTTTGAATATGTAGATTTTTTTTCAGTTATAAAATCATTCTAGTGTTTCTCTCTCTTACAAGAGTGAAACTGAAGTTTTAGAATAATAAAAATATTAACTGTATGCACTGACATATAATGCATTTGTCCATTCTAATATACCAAAATTCACCCTGACCAGGGGTGGTAGCACCTGTTATAGTCCCAGCTATGGGCAAATAGTTAACCTCCAGATGGGGGGGTCAAAACACTATGAAAATATAAACATTTTTATAGTAAAAATTACCAGCAATACATTTTTGTAAAAAAAATTACTAATGCTCCCAAGAAAATTAAATTTTGGCATTAAATGACCCATAAGGTGTTGATATGCCACTAAACAAAAAAACATATATTTTACTCATTTCAACTGGCAAGTGATTATATTCATTTCTTTCTCTATAAAGCTATGCTTAGTGCAGTCCAGTGCCAAATAGGAGGGGGTGGAGGTGGGAAGATTGATGATGCAACATGATCTTTCGGGTGAAGAGTGGAAGTTGCTTGTCTTGAAAATCATCACTTAAAATTTGATCTTAGTCTGGCACAAAGCTACAACTAGTGCGAGTAAAACTTACTGCAAGAAAAGCTTGTTAATCATTATTTCATAGTAAAGTGACTCATACAATGTAGCCTCTAGAGTGGGTAACCTTGTGACAACCAAAGTCGCTCCATTAATAGTAATTGTTCTCATAACAAGACATCCATGCTCATGCCTTTTTTTTTTTTCTCTCTTCCTCAGCGCATGTTCCAAATTAACATCCTTGATGATACATCCTGCACTGAAAAGGCCCAGTGGGATGCTGCAATTAAGTTCATGGAAGATTGTATCAAAGAAAAGCTAAAAACCAGTCAGTATCACATTTGTTTATTCTATTTTTCTTTTATTCTGTATCACACTCCCTACTTTGTTTTTTCTTCGTTGTATTTTTATTACAATTTTAATTGTCATTATCTCTTCATGTTGTGTAGATGTGACCTTCAAAGGGAAGCTTTTTGCAATTCTTATTGGCAGCAATCTTAAGAAATTGAAGAAAGAAACCTTTCTATGAACTTTTGGTTTTTGAAGAAAGAAACCTTTCTATGAACTTTTTGGTTTTCTAGAAATTGAAGAAAGAAACCTTTCTATGAACTTTTTGTTTTCCTAGAAATTGAAGAAAGAAACCTTTCTATGAACTTTTTGGTTTCCTAGAAATTGAAGAAAGAAACCTTTCTATGAACTTTTTGAAAATTGAAAAAGAAACCTTTCTATGAACTTTTTGGTTTTCCTAGAAATTGAAGAAAGAAACCTTTTGGTTTCCTATGAACCTTTCTATTTTTCCTAGAAATTGAAGAAAGAAACCTTTCTATGAACTTTTTTTGTTTTCCTAGAAATTGAAGAAAGAAACCTTTCTATGAACTTTTGGTTTTCCTAGAAATTGAAAAGAAACCTTTCTATGAACTTTTGGTTTTCCTAGAAATTGAAGAAAGAAACCTTTCTATGAACTTTTGGTTTTCCTAGAAATTGAAGAAAGAAACCTTTCTATGAACTTTTTGGTTTTCCTAGAAATTGAAGAAAGAAACCTTTCTATGAACTTTTTTGGTTTTCCTAGAAATTGAAGAAAGAAACCTTTCTATGAACTTTTTGGTTTTCTAGAACTTTTGGTTTTCCTAAAATTGAAGAAAGAAACCTTTCTATGAACTTTTTGAAGAAAGGTTTTTGGTTTTCCTAGAAATTGAAGAAAGAAACCTTTCTATGAACTTTTTGGTTTTCCTAGAAATTGAAGAAAGAAACCTTTCTATGAACTTTTTGGTTTTCCTAGAAATTGAAGAAAGAAACCTTTCTATGAACTTTTTGGTTTTCCTAGAAATTGAAGAAAGAAACCTTTCTATGAACTTTTTGGTTTTCCTAGAAATTGAAGAAAGAAACCTTTCTATGAACTTTTTGGTTTTCCTAGAAATTGAAGAAAGAAACCTTTCTATGAACTTTTTGGTTTTCCTAGAAATTGAAGAAAGAAACCTTTCTATGAACTTTTTGGTTTTCCTAGAAATTGAAGAAAGAAACCTTTCTATGAACTTTTTGGTTTTCCTAGAAATTGAAGAAAGAAACCTTTCTATGAACTTTTGGTTTTCCTAGAAATTGAAGAAAGAAACCTTTCTATGAACTTTTGGTTTTCCTAGAAATTGAAGAAAGAAACCTTTCTATGAACTTTTTGGTTTTCCTAGAAATTGAAGAATATATACTCGAGTATAATATGAGTTTCTATGATCAGTTTTATTTACACAAAAAAATAGGGAGTCACACTATACAAAAGTAATTTTTTTTTTTAAGAATTTAAAAATCCTGTATTTTCTGTAACTGGTTGCATTATACACAAGTAATTTTTTCTGTAGGGGTTAAAATTCATGCAAAAAATTTTATAAATGAAGTCTACTTATACACAAGTACATACAGTACCTATTAAGTTAAGCCGATTGGTATATTACTCACCATTTTTATTCTGTTTACCAATTTTCTTTGTAAAAACAAAACAAAAAAAAACTCTTCTAGCTTGGAGAATTGAAAAAAAAGCTGACTGTTGAATGGATTTGTCAAAATGTGTTCACAAGAGAAACAATGGCTTCAGTTGTCTGAATAACTCTTGGAATGATAATGACTCTTCGCAAATTTATAGACAGTATTCTCATAATAAGAACTGCATTCTTCTGAATACATTTTAAGTACCTCTCTAATTATTTCAGGTTTCTTTTATAGATGATCTCTCTGTAATTTCTCTCATTGATTTAAAATTAGAAATATATTGTTTTGATTCATCCAAGATCTTAATGTGCATGAAGTAAACAAAAAAATACAAAAGAAGCTCTTTCACATTTTAAGTGAAGCTTATGTTCCATGACACATTAAATTTAATCAATATATAAAGTGTAATCCTTTTTTAACAGAATGTTCATTTAAATATTTTAGTGTAATATTAGTCAAAGCTAAATATTGGTTAATGGACAAATCTTATCTTTGCATATAAAATGCAAAGTGATTTCCTTTCAAATAGTTGGTCATTATTTTTGGAATATCTGCTCTAAAATATTTTTTCAGTAAAACAATAAAAGTAATGATTTATGTATTTCTTTTTTCCTGCTTAAAATATGGCCCAAGTAGGATTATTTTTAACAAACATTCATTTTGATACCTTACTGTTTAGTTAAAGTGATGTATTTAAGAAATTCATACAAAATTTCATTCATTTTGCTGAATTCACTCTCTCTATCTATATATCTACTTATATTTTATATATAAGAAATTAAAACTATTCACTCACAAATCTGCTATTAAAGTTTCACTAATATTGGCTCTTCAGGCTGCTTGGGAATAAACATAAAGTTTTGCCAAATATATTAACTATGCTGTGAGATATTATAAATGTACATGATTGTTTTTGTTATAATCATGCATTTTCCTTTGAGCCAGGTTCAAATTATAAATGTATGTACTTTTATGAATGTCTGCATTCAACATTTACATTTTACTTTTTATTTAATAACTTATTCTGTTCCTTTAAACACTGATATTGTTAGTTTTCCCTCCTTGCATAAATGACAATTTGTAACACCTCCTTGCAACAGGGTTACATCCTTGGTCATTGGCACCAAATAATGTAACACTTTTCTCTGCTGCAGCCAACACCTGGTGGTGTAACCACATTTAGTGGTCTGGTTTGCAGGGTCTTAGGACAATGCTTTAACCACAGGCCAACTTTATTCTGGTTAATGTTGACGCTGGTCCAAGCTGGCTGTTGGTCGCTGTCTGCTTCAATCCACACCATCTCTGCTCATGTTGTGTTCTTGATCTCAGCAGTAAATTGAATGTTGTCATAATTTTGCAGCATTGGTCAAGCTGTGGTCAGTGCTATATTAAGGGGAAAAAAAAATATCTTCACAATGAAAAAAATAAAATGAGAGATTTGTGGGATTAATCTTCAACTAGTTTATATAGCTCTGTTATAGACAAGCGTATGGTTGCAAGAAAGAAATACAACAGTAGAAATAGATTTACGTGGTTTATTTCAACAGGAACGCAAGGGTTTAAGACAGCTACCTTGGTGTGGTAAAGTTCATAAGCCGGTTTCTGATCTAGGTCAACCTCTCATAGTAGTTCACACATGTTGACAGTGGTTGACGCTCCCCTGCTGTCAGCAGCTGGACGTGACAGGTCTCTATCCTGGGCACCTGTGGACTGACTGTTGAACTTCCGTGTGACCCCTTTTATAGCGATTTTTATGGCTTAGCAGGCTCGAGAAATGAAGCGAGTATAATTAGGAGGGAAGCATTTTTATTGGACGAAAAATAGAGCACTTTAAATATTGTTTTATTTTTCGACCGGAACACGTGTCGGAAACATTTGTAAAGAAAGATAATGGTCATTTTGTGACGGGGCTTTGTTCCGTTCACATCCGGTTCTCGCTCTTGAGTATTTGCCTGTAAATCAGCCGAGATTTGTCTTATTTTATTTTATTTTATAACAGCTCTTAGTACAACAAAAATTAACCCTTCTTGTATCAATCTCTATAGTGACACTGAGCCTTGTCTAAACTACTGGAAACCTTTGTTCAAAGTTTTGGGATCAGAAATTATGGTTGGCAGCTGGTGTGGATTTCCGATGTGCTCAATGGACCAAAGTCCATGATGTCCCCCAAAATCATCTGTTTATGTGCACTTTGGCCCAAAACTGGTGTGGGGCTGATGAGTTCTGGGGGTTTGTTGATACCCTAATTTTCATTAATTCACATAAGGGTTTTCTTTGTTCTTCCTAGGGCATGCATAACTGTGACAAATCTAATCTTTAAAATGCATAGGAAAAGGGGCTGGAGTTCCATTCCAGCCATTAGTTTTAATTCTCCAAATCTTTTCCATTTTCCTGAAACCATCTCTGCCCAAAGATACAAACCAGACTTCCTCTGGCAAAATCTGTTTTCATAACTTGGCCTTAATTGTACAGGACGTCCGAACTGTTAAGAGAAATTCATTCTTCTGAGTGATAGATAAAACAATTATTTCCTAAATCTGTTTTCATCAATGAAAATATATTTGTCTGCCTAAATTCTCATCAGAGACTCTGTTTTCCATCTCTGTGCTGATTGCCGTCTTCAGCGAAAACTCAAACCAGATCACCTTCTTGGTACAATATGATTGATTTTTTTATAACTTCATCCTTAAGAAAAAGGGTTTGTTTTCTGTTTTTGTCAATGAAAAATGTTCCTCTGATTTCTCAAGAGATAAAACCATTTCTCCAAATCTGTTTTTGTCCACTTACCAGACTCTCAATAGACAAGAAAAATAAACTTTTAGCAAAGAAGAAATTGAGATGTCCCATTCTCACCGAGGCAAATGTCTCCACACACACATGTCGACAACACTAATATAATAGCATCATCTACATGCAAAAAAAGGCTAAAAATAATGGAAACCTTATTAATAAAAACAAAGAAACCAACACTTAATATTAACTTTGAACATGGACAAAATATCTTGACCGTGTTTTGAAACAAAAAAAATGAAAACATTTTATAAAACATACATACAACAAACTATTTCTTATTTTAACAGTTAAAATATAATGCTTGAAAATGGCTAAATGTATAGCCAAAACTGCTCAGATAAAAAGAATATTCGGACAGTTTTTATATAATTTATCATCCGAAAAGAAAAAAAAATATTAGATCACATGAGAAATTGTATAAAAAACTAAATAAAAGCACCTTGTCTGTTGTTTTCAATGAAATGTGCATGAAAGAAGGATTGCTGCCTAAATACACAAATATATATAATCTCTTCCAGCTCGTATTTCATTTTGGGCTAACTTTTCTCTTTTCCTGCTTAGAATTAATGTTTAACCATTTCACTGCCTCAGTGTAACAAATTACCCAATTCCACTTTATAACTTGTTTTTAGCTTTTCATATCTAATATATATAGCAAATATTTGGGCTGGAGATTTAAAATAAAATTAATCACAATTGTATTAAGACCTGGTATACATAGGCTAGGTTTCAGCAGTTCTTATTACTATTACTCTCTTGCTTAACTTTAGTCCTTTCCTACAAACTAAATATTTCTGGTCACAAGGGAAACAAAAAAAAAAAAAATGATTCTTGAAAACCAAATCTTTGACTTAAAACTTTAGTGACTTTTGACAGTAAATTGAAAATGAGATTGTCAAGAATTAATATATGCTGTAACTACCTTTTTTAAATTGTTAATGAGAATTCAGCAATGAGATTGATAAATATTAATGCAAACATTTGTGACAAAATAGAGCTGTTTTATAATTTCTATGTATAATTTTACAGTTTTCATTCTCAATTTGTTGAAGTTGTCTCCCTTAACTAAGATGTCAGTCAGTTAACTGCCAATCATGATGCATGCTTCGTTGATCATGTCTTAATTCATGACTGACTAGGCAGAAGATTTTTCCTGCAGTAGGTTGCTGTTTCTTTCTGCAGTAAGATGTACTCTTGCTAAAATAGGCATAGTTCTATGTTTTTTTTTATTCAGTGTTTCTGACTATGAAGAAATCTTTCAGCCTTTTATCTTCAATTATGATTTTATATGACAGTTGAACATTTCTAATTTCTGTCTTTTCAGATTAAAGCCAAGTTATTTTTATTTTATTCTCTAATAAAAAAAAATATTTTATTTTATTTGATTTTGTTTATTAGATCAGGAAATCCTGAATGAGATGCTGGGACCAAGCACAACAGAACAATGGATTTACTGGAAACATCAAACAGAGGAACACCGACAACGGCAAGCCACAAAGAATGAACTTGAAAAGCTACTCAGCACTGAAGTGAGTTATGGATCTATCCTGAAAGTTTTTTTTCATCCTCTAAGAATATAATTATGCACCCACTATTATGAAAACCTGATGATTTCTTAATTAATTTCATGCATTTTTTAATAAGTTGTGTGTGTATGTATTTATATATAATGTGTGCACACACACACACACACTAAGTGACCTAAGCATTTTACTGCTATCAAAATCATGGGATGAATTACAAGAAATTTAATATGACCTCTATTGGGCCAGTTTCATATAGGTTTAAAAATGAACAGAAATAAAACAAGTGTAATGTTCTGAAAAAGATCATAAGGATGAAGAACTGGACAAAGTCCAGGAATACATCTACCTAAAACAGGTAATAATATTAAAAAAAATGAAATGATAGGTTGGAAAACATTTTAAAAACATTGATGTAATGAAAATATTATGCCAATATACATAACAAGTAAAGTGTATAGTGACTGTATAATGTGAGCTTTGAACTGAGGTTTAAAACAAAACTGTTTATTACGTATACTAGTTTACTGTTAAAAAAAAAATGACTGCAATTTTGCTATTACCTTGGTTATATTTGTTGTATGAGTAATCTATGATTTTTATCGAAACAATTATCAAATCATGAAATGTAAAAATATCCAGAGAAAACTAAGGAAATATATATTTGTATATCTAAACTTAGTCAACAAACACGATGGTCCGAAAGTCTTGTCACCTCTACCTTACTTCCAAATGAGGAGTTTGTGTCAGCTATCTGAAATAGAAAATTATATTATGTAGGGGTAACAAGGCTTTTGAACTATCCTGTTGTGTGTGTGTGTGTGTGTATATATATATATATATATATATATATATATATATAAAATGCTCAGTTATACCAAAAAAATGTATATTTATTGTGTGTGCACATATATATGTCTAACATAATCTTTTGACAGGGACACAAAAATTCATTGGCAGTTGATGAACTTACTACTGTTCGCCGAAATCTTCAAACTCAAAATGTTGATGTTGATTATGACTTTGTAAGTATTGGTTTACAAACATTCAGTATTGCAGTAATTTGTTATTTAAAGCATTAACTTAGCAAGTTTTAACATTTCAAAAAATGTTCTATTTACATGAATAATAACATCATAAAAATTACTTTGTTTATAGATCAAAACTATGAAATATATTCATTTTTCTTCATATATTTAATTTTGTTTTGTTTACTTAATAAAGAACTCTTTCCAACAAAATTCAATAAATTATTTCTTATTTCAACTCTTAACTGTTTGACTGCCAACCATGAGTTATCTCATGCCTGGAATTTTCTGATGTTTTCCTCTGCAGGTGCCAACTTTTAGTGTAGAAAGAAAAATGTTACAGTTGAAGCTATAAATCAATTCAAATCAATTTGTATTACCTAAGTTTATTATGATAAAGTTGACATTTGATGTCAGATTTTGTGATTGACATTTGGCAGTCATCGTGTTAAAATTAGTGACCAACAGGAAACTTTTTCTTGTAATTGACAGAATTTTACAAAAAAAAAATATAATATGCCAATAATCTCAAAAAAGGGAGGGGTTACATTTTTTATTAAGCATTGTGTGTAAAATATGTACTGATGCTTATTTGTAGATCCGAGAAACTTGGTACCAAGTATTTCGAACCCATTTCTTCAAGAAGGCTTTAGCTACTGCTCAACAATGCAAAAAAGGATTTTATTATTACCAAAAAGGATTCCAAGATTCAGAAGTAAGTATTCAGTTCTATATTTTCATAAAAGTTTGTATTTATGATTTTCATAGAATTTTTATATGTCTGTCCATTATGGAAATAATGTTTCTTCCTTTTTACATTTATTTTTCTTTGCTTGTTAAGGGTTTTGATAAAACTGTAGCTTTCTTTGGTAGATGCTCTTTTAATATTTTCCTCAAATCTTGGAGATTTATGCTAAATTATAACAGAACCATCAATATAAAATTCTTAAAATCTGGAGATTTAGATCTTTGACTTAAGAAAAACAGATTTTTTACCAAAAACAGCGAGAAACAGAATTTGGAAGACAGTCCAAAAATGTTAAATGTAAAATATTTGAATCACAACAGCTGCTTCCAATGGAGGTGCAATTTTGAACCAACATTAATTCATTTCAAGTTTTTTTTTTTTATACAATGATGTTCACCCTGTACAGGACCCAAGAGCCACTCGAGGTAGAGGGTTACAAAGTAAGAGGCACCACTCCTAAAAGGCAAGTGGTTACTGGGAATGAAAGAGAATGAGAAGACTTTAGAAGGAACCAGAAACCCAATCCTAAACATAAAACAAGAGATAAATCTCTACTCTTGTTCAAAAGAGAAGGAAGGAGTGTGAACTGGATGATAGTTGAACCTATCTACTCATGATTTCACTTGTAAACAAACTGCTATAACTAATAAATCTGAGCAATAATTATCTCAGCAATAATTCAACTGAATCATGGCCCAAACTGTTTTCCAAAGCACATGGACTGAATACAAATAATTTTCACTCAGCAGCTGTTTTAGTAGAAAATAATCAACAATTTATTTACAGTGAGAATCTTGTAAAAACTGGCAGAGAATACTAGCTCTGAATTGGGAGACCAATGATGAAGTGCTTCAAACTGGCACACTCTCCCAGAAGTGGCTGGAGAATTGACAGATCTCTTGTAAACAATGGCATTCATTGTTTTTCTCTTCTCAATAGAACAGTTATTTCATCATCAATATATTTACAGAAAACCAGCTGGTTTTTTTTTGTTATTTTCTCTCAGCCTTGTAGGAAAAACTATGAAATAGTGACATTGAAAAATAAGTTTCATACTTGAAATTTGTTAGGTCATTGAATAAAGGCTTTTCACTCCTACCGTGAGGTCACTTTTGTTTGGCTGAGGGTCAGTTTATGAATTGTCAGCAGTTGAGTGATATCACTTGTACCCAATGAGTCAAGCTGATAGTGTCATAAGTGACATGTGGTGGAAGACAGGAATTACAATCTAAGTAATCATTAATTTTTTTCTTTTTTTTTTTTTTTGTTACAGTAAAAACTTTTGATCCAATAGATCTATGCAAAACAAAGTGTTGTTCAGTTCACACTAAAAACTGTTAATGACCAACTTCTCCACATTTTATAACAACTGGAAATTAAAATTTGGAGATAAAAAAGAAAAAAAATTTCATTCACTTTAGTTGTTGATTTGACACTTACTTTTATATCACTTTTGGCTTAAATTCAATTATGATTATTTTGGTAACTATTTATTCAACAAAATTAAACATAGGCTGAAAAGAATTTTTATCTAAATCATAACTAGGGTTATGGTGTAAACTGATTATAGTATATTTGATGGCAAACAAGACTTACTTAAATATATATATTTCCAGGTAACACAACTGTTTTCGGTGTAATATCTTTATATATGTGTGTGTGTGTGTGCGTGTATTTAGGCAGCAATCCTTCTTTCATGCACATTTCATTGAATACGTTTTCTCATGTGATCTAATAATTTTTTCTTTTAAGATGATAGATTATATAAAAACTGTCCAAATTTTATCCGAGTACTTTCAGCTATACATTTAGCCATTTTCAAGGATTAAATATTTTAACTGTTAAATAAGAAATAGTTCAATTAGATCTCATTTAAATATTCATGGAGACCAACCGGGCACTATTCATAACATACTTGTTGACAACACTAATAGCATCATCTACATGCAAAAAAGACTAAAAATAATGGAACCCATATTAATAAAAACAAAAAAACCAACACTTAATAATATTAACTTTGAACATGGACACAATATCTTGAAAAATGAAAACATTTTATAAAACATACATACAACTATTTCTTAATTAATATATTTCAACCTTGAAAATGGCTAAATGTATAGTCAAAAGTGCTCGGATAAAAAGAACATTCAGACAGTTTTTATATAAATATCCCAAAAAAAAATTATTAGATTGCATGAGAAATTGTACAAAAAAACTAAATAAAAGCACCTTGTCTGTCGTATTCAATGAAATGTGCATGAAAGGATTGCTGCCTAAATACACACACATATATATATATATATATATATATATATATATGTGCAAGCTCTTGTATACAAGGCTGAACCAAATTAACTTTTGTTTTTCTTCCCTACTACTGTGCCATCAAATATAAGTAATTAAATTTTCCATTTTTGTATTGGCCATATTACATTGAAACACTGATTTTTGTACAATCACTGAAGTTAAGCAACATTGAGCCTGATCAGTATCTAGATAGGTCACCACTTGGTAATACCAGTTGCTGTAAGCTTGAATGTGCAGGTGGTGTAATGGATATCAGCAGAGTTTCAATTCCAGTTGGGTTTGTTATATTCACTTATGTGCAAATATCCTAGGGAAAGGCATGAATCCAATTCTTCTCCTCCAACTATGGGTTAATTAGGACTTGTATTGGTAAATCATTATCTCCAGAAAATTTGTACAATTTAAAAATATTTCCTGGCTTTAAATAACCTGCAAAAATTGATAAGCTGTAAAAACCAAGCCAAATCAATTTTGTGATAATGCACCTCACCTCATTTGAAATCCTCCTCTTAATATATTCAAATAGGCTATTTTGCCAGTCCCAGCAAAATAGACAAACATGCTTTTAAGATTATTTTACCGGTCTTGGTAAAATAGTGTGTCCCTGACCAAGGTTATTTTGCCGATAAATGAAGGCTGGTAATGTTAAACATAACAACACCTTTATTTAACACATAAGTTTATTTATCTTCACCATCATCTTTATGGAAGCCTTGAGATCATCAGTGCAGTAACTGTGTAAACTGTTTAGGCTGGACTTGAGCAACATGGATTCTGTGGTTTGTAACTGTTGTTGTCAGTGCGTGAACCTGAAGCCATTGGGCATAGTTCTCTTGGCAATACACATGTTTGGGATTTGAAGAGACTTGATAATTGATAATAAATAAATGATTTAAACTTGTGTTTTCACAACTGATGGTGAAAAAGATTGTCTTAACAATTGACAGTGAAAATAAACTTCTGTGTTAAATCTGTTATTTTTAACATTACCTGCCTTTTATAATAATAAAAATATTTGGGGGTGGGTGGGTGGATGGTGTTGTGTGTCTATTTTACAGACCGATAAAATAAGCTTTAAAGCATGTTTGTTTTGTTTACAGAGATCAGCAAAATAGCCTATTTCTAATATATTTTATTTGAATCTAGCATAAATATGTTGTTTTTTCTATTAGCATACACCCATTAAAAAAAAAAATTGTAAATTGTTTATCATGAAAAAAAAAAAATTTTTTTTTCTCTCCATAGTTACAGTGTCATGATGTAGTCTTGTTTTGGCGATTCCAACGCATGCTACAAACCACGGCCAATGCTCTTCGGCAACAAGTGATGAATAATGAAGGTAAAACAAAAAAAAATTCCTTTTTACTCTGATGCTTTTATAAACTTGGAAAATGAGAACAAATTTATTTTAAATGAAATTACATTCTGTCATATAAAAAAATGTGTGTGTGGATATATGTATGTATATTTTATGTGTGTATATATATATATATATATATATATATATAAAATTTGTAGCCTCTGTCTGTCTTTGTTATTGAACTCTTCCTAGGGTTTTGAAGATAGACCCCCATAACCATATATATTCTAAACTACATTACCCAGGGTACTTGGATAAGTATATTTCATTTTGATGAAGGGGGTTTCCTAGGGGGGCACAAACCTCCCCACTTAATTTTTTTTTCCCTTTGATTTAAATTAAATTTGAACAAGGGAATGATTCCTATCCAAAATATACAAGAAGAAAACCAGAAGTTGGAGGTCACATCAGCAAGATCATTGAGCAATATCATTTTTCTCTACAAATTACAACAATATTTTCTTGCAAAAAATGTGACATGCAGCAAGGTGCAGGTAATTTGGCTAGTTCTTAATAAAGAGGAAGGGAAATAATGTTGTATTAGTTTGAAGTTTTATAAAAGGTAACAAAAATGGTCTGGTTTTCAGTAAAATTGCTTTGGTATAATTACCTTCTTGCTTTATTGAAGAATTACAGAAGTTAGAAAATGATTGTTCTGAACTTTTAGTGACATTTTGGGTGTTAAAAGAAACTTAATCAGCTGCTGTAGACTTGTTTCCTTATTGCAGTTAGTGGGCCCTCTTTTGACAGTGGGGTGGGAGACCCTTTCGAGTGGCCTTCTTCCACACTGCTCTTAATTTTTAGAGGCCTTTTTAGAATTCATTGACTTCTGTAACTGAATAAATCTGTATGGTAATGCATAATTTTCAATTATACAGTAAAAATATTATCTGCAGTCTGTTATTTATTGATAATCTGTCAAAATGGTTAATGATGAACCCATTTTGGTGGTACTGAAGTCTCAATTTCAAGTGACTGTAAATTTTCTGTAGTGTATCAGATATCAGCTGTCTTCTTTTTTGGGTTTCTAAACTTCATAACAGACTGAAAAATGTTTTTTATCTTTTTACAATTTTTATTACAAGAGTCAATCAATAAGTCTGTTGCTTGACAGCTGAATTCTGATGTGAAATCTTCACTGTATAATGTTTGTTTTATGTGATTAATGGAGAATCATTGTAAATATTTGCTGAAGAAAATTACCATTAGGACACAAACTTATTGACTGTAATTTGCACATCCTTTTTGAGAGAATTCTGATTTCCTTGATGTATTAAAAAAATCTGTGTTGCTAAAACAGTAACATTTTTGTTAACCATTTGAGGATTGATTAAATAACCAGTTCGCCAACTTAGCATATTTATACTAGGTTCAATAATAGAATTTTATTTAAACACCAATTATATACAAATTTGTATTTTATTCCAAATGTCTAGTGTTACATTTTTGCACCAATATATTTTCATGACTTATGTGTGTTAATGTGTCAGAAAATGTACATTGCTAATTGAGTTTATTCTTCAGCTGAAATATACATGCTTTCTAACCTTTTCTTAAATGACCTTTGCTCTAGAGAAACATGCCTGCTTTGGGGTTGTCTCTTAAATTTGCTGGAGCTATCTATACAGCAAAAGTCAATTAAATGGCTCTACCCTATGATCAATTTGTAGATTAGTTTGAGGACATAAATGGTGTCTGGATTCAGAGAGAAGTTTCATTTTAATACAAAAAGTGTAGATGCAGATAGGGCATGCTGAAATATTTCTTTATCGGTTTTGTTTGTGATCAAAATCAATAATCTTTTAAGTTATTTTTCATGAAATGTTAACTGCTAGATTTGTATTTAAAATGCTTTTATATATTAAAATAACAGAATTTATATATTTATAAGTCTACCATTTAAACTTTTGAAAATCAATCATTATCTTTTGTCTTAATTCTTGTCCTTTTATTGTCCTTTCTCCTTAACAGTATATTTTTCTCATTCTCTAACACTCAGTAACTTCATATATCTTAGTAGCTTTATTGCCTTGCTTGCAGTGAAATGGTTTTTAAAAAAAATATCTTGTTACTTGGAACATTTTCTATAAGCTTTAAATTTTTGTTAGTTCTTTCAGAGCTAAGGAAAGCTTTACCCCACAATTGATTGATTTATTGATTTTTATGTCAACTGATCTCATTGGAGAAACAGCTGTTCCTCAATGATATTATTTAAGCTTTCCTGTTTGAAATGTTCTCGGATCTATAATTCTCATAGAAGGTGGCAGGATCCATGCAAAGTAGAGGAGTTAGACTGCTTAAGTGCTTTGGATTGTACAAGTAGAAAGCTGCCATTTGAAACAGATTAATTGTTCTGGCTTGAAATCAATTTCTCTTTGTAAATGTGTGTTAAGAAGCATTCCACACATGTGACTTGGGATGATGGGACCTTATATTGTTATATCGGTTGAAAGAAGTTTAACAGGGATTGGATTGTAAAAACTCTTACCTTTTTTTTTTTTTTTTTTTTTTTTTTTAACTTCTGTTTTACTGAAACAAAATCTGTTGAGGGTAAAATATAAATGCGCTTTCTATTGTCTACTACTAAAGCTGTTGCAAATGTTGTTAAAGAAAAATTAAGGGTTGGGGTATAAAGAATATAGCACATTTTTTTTTTTTTTTTTTTTTTTACACTGTAAGCATGTTGAAATTATGCAATAATTAATATTTAATAACTTTTAGATAACTTGGGGTATTTCTGCCTTAATTTCTTAACAATTATCATTATTTACATGAAGATGATTATCCCGATCTTTGTTATTACCATGTTTCAGCTGCTGCACTTTCAGGCCTTCATCAGGTATTTGTTGATCTGGGTAACCTTCAGGGATTTTCAAATAGGTTAATAGTCTATTGGATTAAAGCCTTGGTTCATAAATTTGGTGACATAGTAATTGTGAGTTCAATCCCTAGGCAGGACAGTGACAATCTACCTCTGTATGAGGATTGGCTGAGAAGTTCATAGGCTGGTGAAAATACTCTCCTGGAATCTGATGGTCAAAATGTCATCAACAGCAGATATGTCGTCATCATCATACCAAGCAAGATTTTTTTTTTCATGTTGGGGGACAGATGAGTCCAAATCAAAATAGGAAGGATGATCAACCAGTTTAAAGCCACAATCAAGCACAGCAGACTTTGAAACTGCGGACTTGTGTGCTGTAGTATTGTTTTGACAAGACCCCATTTTATCAATTTTTCTGGGTATTTGGTCTTGATAGCCTTTTGTAACTGCCTCAGTAAGTTGGCATAGTTTTCCCCTTTTGGAGATATTCAATAAACACAATAGCTTTTGCATACCAAAAAACTGAGACGATGAGATGACCTTGGCCTTCTTTGGAACATGTGAGAAGGGTTATTTCCACTGCATGGATTGTCTCTGGCTCAAAGAAACGTTCAAGAAAACGAGCTGAATCGGCCTCAACATCAGTTTTTCCTGTGATACGATCAGCCTGGTGCCCTTTTGATCAGTTGTCAGAAGACGTGACACCCACTGAGCAGAAACTTTCATCATACCAAGTTCATTGTGCAGAATATTCTCATAACATTCCCTATTTCATAGTCAGTCACCTTGTCTTCTATCCCCATGTGGTGAACACAATGTTTTCCTCAGTGGTGGTGGTGGTTGTAAGATGTCCAAACCTTGGGTCATCTTCAAGATCTGCTCCCTGCTCCTCCTAAATTCAGCTGCCCACTTTTGCACAGTTGATAAAGCTGGGGCATCATCCTTTAATGTAGCAACCATGTCAGCATGAATGTCCTTGGGGGCTAAACTTTTTTTTCTGGGAGTATGATGCTAAATTTTGTCCTTTTTCAAAAGAAGTTGCTACTAAGTTGCTTTTGAAGTCTTCTTTGAACAATCAGATCTCAGTTTACTTGTAAAGATGCAATGCAGTTATTAATAAGAAGAGTTGAAATTCATGCATGCAATATTTAACAACTTTAATATCACTCCTTCATAGTCAGCCTATGAACTTTTCAGCCCACCCTTGTAAGGGTTCAGTTTTAATTTCCCATAAACCTGATGAAAACTGAAGGGCACAATGGCTGAAACATTGTGATAGCAACAAAGATGGAAACAATAGCTTGTGTGTAAATAAATTTGGACTGAAAAGTTTTCATCCTGACCTAGTTTCTGAAATTTGACCACACATCAGGATTTTAAGTCTCTTAAGTTGTGCCAAGAAGTTTTCCTGTCCTTACAACTACTAACAAATAATAATTAAAATGAACTTATTTAGGGCTAATTATTCACCTAAAAAAAACAAAAAAAATTCTTTCAACTTTATTATTAAATTGTAAAACCAATCTTTTTTTTTGTGTTGCTATAGTTACTGCAAATATTTCCTCTTTCAAAAGAAGCTTAAAATTACTTATTAACTGACCTCACCGAAACTATTGATTTGTTTTTTTGTTTCCTCTCTCCTCGTTCTAATTATTGCTAAACCTTGTGACAGCTGCTTTCTTTATCTTCCTTTCATTTCTCAATTTTATTTTTATTATCTTCCCATATACTGGGGCCTCGTTATTTTTATTGGTATTGTTGAGTGCCTGTAACCAGTCTTATGGATACGAAAATGTGTCAGTCTCCTTCCTATTTCCAGATCAGAGAAAGAAAAAAATATTTAAAAACTTAATCTTCATGTTCATCTAAATATTGAAATAAAGTCAATTTTGGCAATTTTTTTTTTTTTTTTTTTTTTGTGTGTGGCATTTTTACATTTTGGTTGTAAAATTCTGAAATATACATTTTGTTATTAATGGCATTTTATATTTTAATTTATGAACAGTGCTTAAAAAAAATAAAAAAAAAAATTTATCTGGTAAGATTTTGTGAAGTGGGTCACCTAATGGAATAGAAAAAAAATCTTTTATACTGGTATTCAAAAGCACTCTTATGCATTTTTATTCATCTGATGATGGTTAAATGCTTTTATTAAATTCTCAAAAGGATCTATTGATAAAGTGAAATGGTGTTTGGCTTATGTATTTTGTGTTTATATGAATATAAAAAAAATGATTGCGGATATTTGCAACATGTATACATGACAATATTTATATTTAGTATCTGTGCATTGGTAATACAGGGATTTCAATATCAAAAATAAAAGCCCTCTCTGTAGACTCCATCTTCAGTTTTACTTGCTATTCTTTATACTTTTATGGGATATTAGGCAAGCTCTTTCAAGGGGATGTGCAGATGGTGTAATGGATAGTGGCTTTGAATGAGAAATTGGAGAGTAGGGTACAAATTCCATTCACTTAAACACAAATACCCTTTGGGAAGATATGAAGCCATCTCTTCTCTCCACAGTTATGGGTTAAATAGTGGGACTTGTATCTGGAAAATCATTATCTTCAAAAAATTGTTAATGCAATATTTACTCACAAAAAAAAAATTTTTACAATCCAAAATGACTTTAAATGACCTATGAAGGGTTGATAATCAATAAAAAAAAAAATAGAAAAAAAATTAACCCATTGAAAGGGTGGGAAACTGTGGAAATGTTAACTAATTTTATTCTGCAAAATCTTTACTGTGCACACCCCGAGCCTTAAAGCCTACTGAACCCACACAAAAAAGGAAATTGATGGACATATTAGATGTTTATATAATTTATCATTAGTCTAACCTAAATTTTAATAGAGTTTTGCTCTTTAAGTTTAATTTCTGTAAAACATTTTGTGACTAACCTTACCTTTCATAGTAACTAGAAAGGTGAATTTATTGATAATTGTTAGTAACAATGCAAGAATCTGCACCCACAATCTTTCTTTGTCAAGAGATTCACACACTTTTAATCATTTGAAAATATCTCACATTTTCTTCTCTTTGGCATTTTATTTTTTCTCTCCCTTCTATTCTGTTATTTTTTTATGCACATCTTCAGATGACATTTGTCTTTTATGTACTTATATTCTGTATTTGTAATGGCATTTATTTTTTAAACTATTATTTCTTTTTCTTTCCCAGCTCGGCGCCTGGAGAGGATTGTCAAAAATATTTTAGAAGACATGTCAGAAGACAAGGCTCAGCTGAAAACCCTTGTAACTGGCAAGAGAGTGGATCTTGCGGAGGAATTAAGTAAGTATCAAATGAATTTACACTATTACATGTGGACTATTTATCCTCATCTTTGTTGTTGTAATAACAACATTTTGGCTCTTGTGCCTCCTGGCCTTCCCGAACTCTTTATTTAATGTATGGAGATGGATAGTGGAACAAGAACAATCTATATCTAGGGATATCTTGTCTAGTTCTGTTCAGAAATAAGATATTCCTAGACATGAGCAGTGGAAAGAGAACAGTCTGCCCCCATCAATTAAAGGCTTCAGTTCGGAATTCCCTGTAGGTTACCTGGATTGATATACACCTGATGAAGGCCAGAAGATAGAACTGCCAAAACATTGTGATTACAACAACAACAAAGATGTGGACAATAGTCCACATGTAAATAATAACTCTCATCCCAGAAATTCAGACAGAAATTATCAGGTGAATGTAAATTAGCATTTTGTGTAGACTTTGGGCAATGGACATATATTGGGATGATAACCTATTATAATTATGCTTGTCCCTTCCTTTGTTAGTTTGCACAACCATTATGTTCTACCACTACCTCACAAATAATGGACAATTCCATTTTGATTGTGTGGGAAGAGGAAAAAAGACACTACTTTGTGGAAAGAGGGAGAGGAGAAGGGAGAGGGAGAAGAAATGAAGGAATGAGATTATGCTGATAAGAACAGATGATATTGATCTTAGCCAAAAGGCCAAGAAGCAAATGCAACCATGATAAAGGTGCCATTTTTCGAATGCACAGTATCAAACGATGGAAACTGAGTAAGGCAATCACCAAAAATCCAGTTACCATAAATAAAATAATATTGTCTGCTGAATTATTTTTAAATTATTGAGATAAATGTTTATAAGACAGGGGTTTGGCTAGTCATTTATAATTGGTGATTGCGTAATTGATTCAGCTATTATTTCTATTAAGATTGATCATGTGACTTATGAAATGTTTATTTGAGAGTTTCATATGAGTCAGCAAGAAAGTAAAATCCCACCATGATGATGATGACAGTAATTTAGTTTGGGGAGGTGGCATACTCATCCTGTGATTCTGGTGTTGAAGTATAAACTAAACAAGAAAGCTCTACTAGATGTTTATTGAACTTCTGATATCATAGGTCCTTACATCACTAATGTAAGGACACCACAAACACTGCAACCATAGCATCAGTGGGTGTGTCTTGGGTAAGACGGCACCATCTCTCTTCAGGCTGGTTTTGAATTCAGAGTTGTCTGTCACTTAGACTGGTTGTAGCCCAGTTTGCCTTGTTATTTTACCCACAGCTGGGGGAGAAAAGAAGATTCAGGACTTTTTAGGTTGTTGTGCAAAACAGAATGCTACAGCCTCAGTGGGTATTTGAACTTGGCATACCACTCTCAATTTCCGTGCCAATAACCACTATGCTATGCATGTGTCCACAATATCATGAGGAGTCGGGTAGTACAGAGAGCCAATCATTTTACCTTTAGAAGATGTAGTTAATATATTAATTCAAAAAGTTGATAATTTTATACCAATATCCCTGGCTTTTTGAAAGTTCATTTTGCAGCATTTCACTTTTCATAAGAAGAAAATTGTGTAAAGTGAAGAAGCAATTGCCATTAATTTATATGGGAGAAATCTTTGAGCGTTTTCAAACACCCAAAATAACTTTCTTTGGCAAACACAAACAAACGTGCCTGCAATAAGACGTAGTGTCTTTTTCTCGAGAATTTTCTAAAATTGATTTTACTAATTTTCAGTGTGTACTATATATTATACTTTGGAAATCATTGGAGAAAAGGATTGTTAGTAGTCAGGAATTAATCCAAGTATTAGGGACAGAATGGAGCTTTTCTATGTATAATGCATATGCACAATGTATTCATTGAAACGAGATGTTATTAAATAAGTACCCAAATAAAGAATTGCTATATTGACTCATTAATTTGGGTGGATTTTAACCTAGCTCCTGTGGAGTGCCTTTGGCCTTCTTTGACACCTTAATTCAGCATAATCTTCCTTTGTATATGCAACTGATCTTGTTTACATTTATTTTGAGTGCAATTTTTATTTTCTTTTAAAAAAAAAAAAAAAAAAAAAAAAAAAATTTTTATTTTATTTTTAAAAAAAAAAAAAAAAAAAAAAAAAAAAATCACCATTCGCATAAAGTGACTCTTAAAAGACATTAGAAAATCTGCACTATGTAATATTTTGAATACATTACAGTATGGGTGCTAGAAAAATATCAGTTGCAATGAAAAGTGAACTTAAAGTGAAACCTTTAATAAAGAAATGTCTTTTAAACCATTCACTCTGTTCCATATTTACATTTGACTTAAATAACTCATTTAAATTTTTAATCATGTGTAACTACAGTAGTTACCTACCTGTTACTTGAGGTTGTTGATGATTTGCCAAGTTTGTACATGTGCCATCCATTTTTCAATGTGCATTACTATTATAGATGAATAACTGATTTTCATCAGTAATGTTTCATTTTTTTTTTCTTATTTCAGAACGTGTACGCCAAATTCAGGAGAAATTAGAGGAATTTATCCAAGCCTTGAATAAAGAGAAATGAGAAATTTGTTAGTTTTATTCAGTTTTGTTCCTGATGTTTGCCAACAATGTGTGTGTTTGGCTCTTGTTCTGCCTCATTCTCTTGCACTACGTAGCCACATCACAATGGAACTGTCAAAAGGTCATTGACTGCTGCCTACAGTTGCCACAGTCATGTGTGACTGACTTACAAAGTAATGTAGCACATTTGGCAACAAATAGCACATCCTATGTGGATCATCAGTTGCCTTTTATTAACTTTCTTTTTCAATTCTTAGTCTTGCCTACATTTCCATCAGCGAGTGTGACCATTGCTATGATTTCCTGATTTGTGTGGCGCCAAATGTGGACAAAGATTCAGGGGCAGAGAGGAAGAAAAAAATAAAACTCATCACATCAACAGCTTTAGCAAATGTTTTTCTAATTCAGGCAAACAAAGATGAATGAAAATAAGTGGTGTGATATCAAATCTAAAAAGTCATGTGATTGTTTAAATTTCTTTTCTAAAGCATTGCATTATGTGAAACCTTTTAACTCTTCAAATGGCTTCTAGCATGTGACAAGAGTTAGACTGTCATGTCAAACACTGTAAAGTTGTTTCTGTTGTTTAAAAAAAAGAAACTGGGCCAAATTTGACAATTTCAAACATGATACCGTTTATATTTCTTGTTCATCTCCCCACACCTATTCCTGAAACCCTACTAATAAATTTCTTTTTCTTCCTGGAACCCAAAACCCTAGTATAAAATTTTTCTTTGCTTCTTTTCTCATCTCAATTTCTTTCTTATTTTAATTTTAACTGCTGTCACATGGAACTCCAAATCCGAAAGATTGTTGTATAATTTTCTCTCTTCTTTAAGTGAAAATCTCTTTTTCTTTCTCAAATGTCATGCTTGTTTATCATTGCCCTGAAAATAAATAGACTACAGTACAGATTATGGCTTTCATATCTTCTCTTGCAGACATGGTTATTTTTTTTGGTTTTTTTTTCCCCCTTTATATTAAAATTAGACATCAATCTAAATTTCTCAGTTAACAACTGTGGTGCACTATTCAATAGGAGTAGATAGGTTTGCCTATCATCCAGTTCATACTCCTCCTCTGGTCTTTTAAACAGGAGTAGAGGTTTATTGCTTGTTTCCTGTTTCTACTTTAGCTCTACATACCTTAACACAGTAACCCTTAGTCTTTGTATTGGTTGAATATTAATAAAAAAAAACAAAAAAACATGATTGTAAAGTTTCATTGCTGATTAATTAGGGATTCTGCAAATTTTCCATCAGTTCAAGTGTAGCTTTTGTATCTAAGATTTAGCTTTAAGTGTTTCTCAAATACTTTACAAAAAGTGTAATGTATTTTTCTGTTGACTTCAGTTCTCAACAAATACTACTTATAAATGTGGTTTCCTTCTTTTTGTGCTCTTGTATGTCTATCCCAACCAACTAGTGTATGTGTATATATATATATATATATATATATATATATATATATGTATATATATATATATATATATATATATATATATATGTGTGTATGTATATATATATATATATATATATATATATATATATATATATATATATATATATATATAGTGTGTGTATATATATATATATATATATATATATATATATATATATATATATATATATATATATGTATGTATATATATATATATATATATATATATATATATATATATATATATATATATATATATATATATAGTGTGTATGTATATATATATATATATATATATATATATATATATATATATATATATATATATATATATATATATATATATATATATATATATATATATATAGACACTTTGTAAACATAACATCTAACAATACAATAATAAAAAAGTTTACAAACAACACTATAAATAACCACAAAACTACATCTAGATCCACAATTATTTCCACTGTATAACCCCTAGAATAATTTGAAACATAACTGTAACCACTCAAAATAACCATTATACTTATACAATACACTACCCACAATACGTCACCGATATTTTTTTTTTTTTATATATATATATATATATATATAGGTAACTCTACTTGTTTTGAAAAACTTTCGAATTTTTGATTTGCCAATAATCAAATCAATCTAGAGGAAAAAGAAAGAGCTAGAAACATGAAAGTCTGTCAAAAAAAAATCGCACAGATACAGGTTTAAAGCCCAAAGAAAAAAAACCCCGACACATAGTAAACAACTAACTAACAAAAGAGCTCAATACAACCGTAGAGCAGACCTAGATAAGCCTAGTGAGCCAGACAAACCTACCCAGGTTTCACTTAAGCGGATCGTCATGGAAAGCTGAAATATTAGTTGAGCCAAAATAACACACATGCTATCATCAGGCCATATGCATTAAGCATGAAACAGAATGTTTCCTCTAGGTTTTAACTTCAATGTTAAAATATATATATATATATATATATATATATATATATATATATAAATAAATATTAATGTACTCTACATTTTATACTAGTAGACTGCATATCATTATATACAAATGTCGAGACAAATGATTGTTAGAAAAAGTTATAGTTCGGAAGGAATTTTTTTTTTTTTTCTTTTTAAATATGTGAATGATTTTTTTACATAATCGTTCCCCAAAATGCAGACTGCAGCCAGGGTAAGTATAGCAACTACTTTTAACCCTGCAATCTCACAGATTGTTTTAACTTGACAAAGAAAGAAAACCCCAATGATTACAAAATGTTTCACTTCCTGAGTCAAGGTGAGAAAAGATTTGCTCTTGATATTTTAGTTGAAAACTAATTCACATGTCTTAGACAAATAATAAATCACTCCCATTATCTACTGTAAATTGTGGCAAGGAGACATGAAGATTTTTAATTCAAAATGCTCAGGTATGCCTATACTTAAGTGTATAAGTCATCACTCAAACGTACAGTATGTTACTAGTGTCTCAGCTGTTGGACGCGATTTGTGTTTTTCTGTTACTATTTTATATTAATTTCTTTGTTGATATGCCAGATATGTTCACCAAACAACTTTTAGTGGGATATATTTGTGTCAGCCTGCTGGAGGTATGGTAAGTAATTCTACTTGTTTACAATTCTGTGATAAAGGTTTGCATTTTATACCTGCCATATAAGTCGACCAATAGTTTTGTAAAGATTTTCTTTAGGCTTGAAAACTCGACTTGTATGCCACAATTTATGGTAATATATTTTTTCTTTACGATCTGTCAAAATGTGAGATTTTTTTTTTCCAGTAGTGCAAAGAAAATTATGTTAACAACATATGTAACATATCCTATAATCTGTAATATGGGGATCTTCTTTATTCCTTTTATTTGTTAATTTCTCTGTTGAGCAACAAAATAGCAAAGTTAAATTCCCCTCACCTGAAGAGACGTAATTGATTTCAATCTGAACAGAATTCTCCATATTTGCAATTGATGATTTTTCCCATTAAAGAAATCAAAATCAATTTTGATTTAATGTTATTCATTCCAATATATTTTTGTATTGGATTCATTCAGGAAGTGTTTATTATGACGGTGACTGGTAATGTTGGAAAAAGTCTTTTTCTACTAATTGTTACTAGATGTATTGTCTATAAATCTATAAAAAGAGTCATGAACATGCCTAATATTATTTGGACAACAATCTTTTCTTCATATATTTGCCATTCTTTAACACTGTTTTAGGCCTCATCAGTCATTATCGGTGAGTGTTTAAAACGGTGGGATTAATAATAGGTAATTCAAACCTTCCTCTAAGGAATGGACATTTCTTGTTGGGTCTTTTAAAAATACGTTTTGGTTATAGAAACGGTTTTCTTGATAAAAAATAAAAAATGGTGGGGATACAGCTTTGATGCAAAGTGTTTGTTTAATAGGATTTTAGTAACTTTACTGTTTAAATGATAAAAAAAAATTGTTATCTATAAATTCCATTTCTGTGATTTCCACATTAAATGCTTAAAATATTGTGTTGATCTAATCTTCCTCTACAGGAGGGAGATGAATTCTCCATTTTAGTTAAAATATAATTGATGATTTCAGTTTCCAAAAGGCTCAATTCTAAGCATTTTTTTCAGGAAGAAATTAAAACCATTCTATTGTGTGTATATTAAGCTCGGCGGCTAAAATGTGACAATTACCTTTGTTGTTTCAAGATAGGAATGTCTAAGAGTCCATGAAGTTTGGCTCTTTTATAATTAAAATTACTTGTTTATTCTGGTAGGAAAGTTGGTTCACTGTGTCGGCTAGGCAATATTTCTTGCCAGAATCTCTCATATATAAGTCTACTATTCATCCATGCATTGAATATTGGTCTGTATTTAGAGATTCTTGATGAGTTTCAGTCACTTTTCCACCACCATAATGTAGCTTCCCTGTGCTTTTTCTATAAATATTTTTGATGAACTTTCCTCTATTATACCTAGACTTTATGAATTTAAGCCCAGTACTAGATTAGCAGCAAGGTCTCATCTTTTACACTTTAAATGGTTAGATGTCACCACAAGTTCTATGCTAACCGTTTAAGAACTTTTGGCTTTTTGCTTTCCAGACGTCTTTGCATTTCAATTAATGAAGATCCATGTCAATTGTTATCTTGTCTTCTGTTCTTTTATTCTCTCCTTAATGACTTTCTTATTCTTTCACACTCACTAATACGTAAAATGGTTACTGACTTTAGGGTGAAATGATTGTCTATTATATAATATTGGAAAAATAGTCCTTGTCAGCACATTTCGTCATTTAATTTTATCAAGGCAAGTGATGATAAGCAAAATGTTGTGTAGTTACATGAAATTCAAAATTTTAAAAGACGCTCCTGTGTAAGCATCTTTTTGATTATTAATCAAAGAAAAAGTGACTAAGTGTGTTTTTGTTTTCCATGTCGAAAAGAGTTAAAGTTCTCAGACTATATCTGTAGAGAGATGGCAAATTGAATATTTTCCAATTGTTTGTTTTATTCAATTTGTCTTGACCTACGGTGTAAAATCTCGGCTCTTGTAGCTACC